ATGTCACTGGAATGTTACCATATCGTATTGTCAAAAGTAAGAGAAGGACTTCGGAAGCAAGTTACAAATTGGAGAAAACCAATCAGCCCTGAAGAAAGACTACTGATAACTTTAAGGTAAGTGAAACAATTTTTTACAGATCAAACTTTTATTGACAAATCAAAAGATAATATTCATTGAAAATGTTTTTGGTTTAGCATCTTTGCTACAATTAGTATTTATAAATTGCTCTCAGTGTTACAGTTAATTTGAGTATCTGTCAAGCTGTCATCATGTGCTGTCCTTATCTCACAATACAGAATCAGCGCATGCGGACAGGGACAGCACATGACTACTCAAGCTAGCTGTCGCACTAAGAGCCATTTATAAATAAAGTTCAAGGCATTGGATAGTTCTCATTAAAATCACTTATTTCGTCTTCATGAGATTGGATAGATGTCTCTGGATTCGGGTGAGGTGTAGCTGGAGTTATTGGTGAAAATATTGGCAAACATAATGTAGTTGGAGTTGCCGGAGGTGCTAAGGATTGTGCTCTTTCATAAGCTCCCGGTGTCCGCGTTTGCTGATATTCTGAAATGCTGAGTTGATAATAAGCTTTCTCATCATAAGTTCGGTGTCTTGAAGGCCCAGCTATTTGTTCAATTACAGCCACTGCCGCCGGTGGTGCTGGATTTATATACTCTCCGGATATCAAAGTCAGCTGAGTTTCCGGATTTTTGTTAGCTGCTGCAGTATGTTTAGCTGTCTGCTGAGTCGAGGTAAACGAAGGTGCTGGACTTGTATTAGCTCTGGATGTAAGAGTCTGCTGGGTTGCACCTTCATTAGGATCATAATCTGTCTCTCGAGAAGGTGTTCGTGGATAATACGGCTGTGTCCTAGGATAACTAGGTACTGGGTCATTTAAAATTTGCTCTGATAAATTGAGAACGCCCATTTTAAATCTTCGTTTTTGGGCTGGTGTCATTGATTTCATATCTGGAAGCATGCTTTGAAAAAAAGCTAGATCGCTGTCTGTTTCAGGCTCAGCTCTATGTATGGTCTTCATTTGTAATGCTCTTTGACTGAAATATTCATGTGCTGATTTATTAACATCTTTTATCGAGATTGCCCTAGATTTATTTAATAGTGGTAGCAGTGGCGGTGTTGGCGTGGATTGATTGGAGATGGAATCCGAATTTGTGTTTTCAGAAGCTAGTTGACCAGTAAACAGTGTCTCATCGACTTCTTCACTATCATTACCGTCTGTGCAATCATATTTGCTTAGATTGCTTTTGGTTGGTCGGGACTTCAAGTAATTGTCTAAAAAATGTAGATGTGGTGAAAGGTAGTACTCTTTAATCGTCTTTGCACCTGATCCAGATGGCAAATCTAGCCTTTTCTTGTTTTTGCTGTAACTACATCGAATATTCTTCCACCGTTCTTTACATTCTTGGGCTGAAAAATATTTAAGGAGATTAGTTACAATGTGTGTTTAGATTGAGGTGCCACTTTTCGCATCGTAAAGTGGCTAATGGAGTTATTTAGTAGTTTTCATCAAAATTTCGTAGTACTCCAGAATTCTGGAGTACTACAAAATAATACAAAATTTTGATAAAATTTCATCCATAATTTTCCCAGTTCTGAGTGGCACCTCAATGCAAACAGTTAGATTGAGGTGCCACCTTTATATTCATTTAACTTTTGAAGTATTCTAATACAAAATCCAATATCCGTTCTACAAAATTTTCTAAACTACTACTAAATAACTCCATTAGCCACTTTACGATGCGAAAAGTGGCACCTCAATCTAAACACACAAATGTTACATACTTATTGCTATTTTATTTTTGTTACAGATACTACTCAGATGGCTGTTCGTTTACATCACTTTCTGGATATGTATTGAGAGGAGGCAGTACCGTCCGGCAAATTGTGCATGAAACCTCTAGCGTTTTGTGGGAATGCCTACAGCCGGAATATATGCCTGTACCTACACGACAAAAATGGGTAGAAGTTGCTGAACGGTTTTACACTCTCTGGAATTTACCGAATTGTGTTGGGAGTTTAGATGGAAAGCATATTAGAATTACAGCGCCCATCAACTCGGGTTCGACTTTCATAAATTATAAGGGATATTTCTCTATTGTATTGTTAGCAGTTGTAGATGCAGATGGTTTCTTTTTAACTATAGATGTTGGTGAATACGGCCGAAATAGTGATGGGCGAGTATTACAAGTTAGCTCTTTTGGACAAGCTATGGATCTAGGCGATCTCGATTTACCGAACCCTACACCTTTGCCTGGAGAAACACAGAATGTGCCCTTTTATTTTGTGGCAGATGAAGCTTTTCCACTAAAAAGAAATATTATGAGACCATATGGTCGAAATCAATTGACTAATGAGAGAAGAGCTTATAATAACAGGTTGTCAAGGGCACGTAAGTCAGTAGAATGTGCCTATGGTATGTTAGCGTCAAAGTTTGGTGGACTTTACACGCCTATTTGCTGCAAACCAGAATATGTTGATAATATTATAAAAGCAATGTGTGTGTTGCATAACGTAATTCGCACATGTGATGGTAAAAAATCAAATCCACGGTTTAGAAATAATTTGATAGGAGCAAACATTAACATGCGATTAATGGGAGAAAATCCCTACCATATCAGGGAATATCTTACAACATATCTAACACAACGATCTCCGATTCCGTTTCAGACTAGACATAATGTTTAAAATTTAAATAAAATACATACCTGTTGCACCGACTTTTATTGCTATTTCTTGCCATATTTTGTCTTGCACATTTCTGTTACTGTACCCTGTCTTAGTGTAGTCATAGATATTCGGGTATTGCTCAATTAACTCGCAAAACTCAATATTAAACTCAATATCGTCACGCATCCTGTATACGAAGCGACGTGCGTCTTGCGTTATCTTTTGTTCGTGACTGAAGGCGGCAAGCGGACGGCGCAGGCACGCCGCTCCTCGCCCCCCGCCACGTCGCCAGCAGATGTAGGCGCAAGCGGCGTCTCGCATTATATACAGTATGAACAAAGATACGTAGCGATATATTTTAAACTGTTCAAATTTTCGTCCATATGGATATTTAAAGGCTGATTTACATTGATACAGTAGCTGGCGCCAGCTACTGTATCAATGTAAATCAGCCTTAATCCATGATTTTAATGAAAATCCGATGTAATTTAACTTATTATGATTTGATTTATGTATTTCGATGTTATTCGTATTTTAAAGTAGTTAAATAGCAAACATAGCGGTTACATATTGCAAACATAAGTACAGTCGACAGCACATCAAGCTATACAGTTTGACCTTGAGCACGCCTTTATTGCACTTGTAATAGTGGCGGCTTTCGTAGCGCAATGTTACACTTGATGTGCTCTCGACTGTACATAGGAATTATAATGATACAAAAGGAGGGAATTAGTATTCGAAAAAAAACCGAAAGGAGGTGTATTAAATGTTATTTCCACTAAATAGCACCTTGTATAATAATACTCTGTGCCGTATCGTCCCCGCGTCTGTTTGCGCAGATATCGCGCCTGCACCGTATCTGCGCCGTGTCTGTACCGTACCTTCGTCTCGCCGTCTTCTATTTGCGTTGCCCCTAACAACTCAGTCAGTTCACCTTGGGCACAAGTTCGGTCGTGACATTGAGTAGGCTGGGAGATAATGTTACCGGCCAATTGTTTCACGTAACTATATGTATAGATAACGGTTTAGTCTGCGTTTGAAATTTGATGCTATGTTTTAACGTTGTTTCTTATTAGTTGTTTTTTTTAATGTAATACATATGTCGGCAAACGAATTGACGGATTACCTGATGGTGAGCAATCGAGGAGTGACGAGAGCGTTGCCGACCTTTTAAGAATTGGGGGAGGGGAAGGATTGGGCCTTCGGTAACCTCACTCACACGGCGAAACACAACGCTGTGGTTGCTTCACGCCGGTTTTCTGTGAGGCCGTGGTATCACTCTGCCGACCGACGACCCGACCCATTCGTGCCGAAGCATGGCTCTCCCGCATTTCGTGCGTTCGCTCATTTTGCTGTCGTCTTTATCTAGATAAGATTTTGTTTTATCGTAAGCACAACTTTCGCTTTAGATTACGCCGTTTTACATAACAAACGGTAGTTGAGTTACTCTTTTTAGGTTTATATTAAGAGCCGATCAAAGGACTACGCATGAGAACAGGCGGTAGCCCTCTCTGATGCCTGACCCTTTCAAACTACGATTTTCAACCCTGTTAAAGGGATTATCTTAAACCCAACAGACTAGGCCCACTGGCCAATAGTACAATGCAATGGGCTATGAATCTATACTTCTATAATCTATAATAATATTATTATATAGAGGTAAAATTTGTAAGTTTGTATGTAGGGTGTAATCTTGGAACCGTTGGTCAGATTGCCAAATTTCTTTCACTGATAGATAGCTACAATGATCTTGTTTGCTATAGGCTATGTGCAACGGGTGAAACCGCGTGAGAGTAAAGAAATCGCTTTCATTCATTAAAACTACATTGTATGAACTTATCAAACTTTACAAAAATGTAATTCAAATTAAAAAATAAAATATTTATCGCGGTTTTCTAAACAATTAACGAGAAGGAATTATTGAAAAAAAAAATATACGTTGTACCAAATTCTTTACATTATAATAGTTTTTGGAAAATCATTTTATTTTTTCGGTATTAACCAAACTAGTCTTTACCTTTCATCGATTACTGGGAGCCATTATGATATATTTAATAGAAAGAATTCCACAATTCTGACGCTAATGGCAAAGGTTATCATGATACCAGCGAACGAACTCATAATAATGGACATCCCCAGCGAACAAACAGATATAATACACTTTAAAGGTCAAATATAATGAATGTTATATAATACAGCATTATTAGTAACGCCTACATACATACTCTCTGAAAGTAAATGCAGGTGTTTGTCCACGTGTAGTGAGCTAGTAACTATTTGAACCATAAAATGGTTTGTTTTTGAAGCTGTAAAATCATCTTAAGTGTGGGAGAGCCATGCTTCGGCACGAATGGGTCGGCTCGACCGGAGTTATACCACGGCCTCACTGAAAACCGGCGTGAAACAACCACAGCGTTGTGTTTAGCCGTGTGAGTGAGGTTACCGGAGGCCCAATCCTTCCCCACCCCCAATCCCTCCTCAATTCCTTGTCACTCGTAACTCCTACGTTGTGGGTGTCCATGGGCGGCGCTGATTACTTACCATCAGGTAATCCGTCTGCTCGTTTGCCGAACTAATACATAAATAAAAATCTAGTGGCTAGTCCCGACCTGGGTGGGGAAAGAAGGACTGTCAGACTTACTTAAGGCGTATAGTACCCTCAATAACCTCGAGCATGCTAACACACGACTGGCGCGGCCAAAAAACTGTAACCTGCAGTGAAGCTACTCACGACTAGTTACAATGTCAACAGAATAAAAGCCTTGGACGAAAGCATATTTAGTTCAGTAATGAAATTTGCGATAGTTCCGACCTAATGTGACCTTCAAGGCCTCAAATAAAGGGCGTGTAAGTATTACTTTTTAAAATGGTCGTCACTCCCTGTATTTATGATTCGTCTGGAGCCAAGATCTGATCGTTTACCATCTATACGTCTACTCATTTTGCCGTCCTGTGCCTGAAGAATTGCTACCTGACTTGTTAGCTAAAATATATGTCACCGGAAAATAACAAGATCCGTAAGTTTATCAATTGATTAGAAAGTTTATAAACTTTTGTAAGATTCTAAACGGGAGATAAATTTAAATATTTTACGTCCACATTTTCGTAAATTGATAAACTTACTGAACTCACTCGTAAAATAATAAGTAAGCAGTAACCAAACGCTACGCGCGATATGATTGGTTGGCTGTCACGTGTCACTTCTATGGACACAAGCATTGTGCCACTATGAACATTGACCAATCGGAGAGCAGTGTGTTATTTTACGTATTTCAAAAACCGTATATTTAAGGAGTTTCTGTGATTGGTCGAAATCTTACGAATAGATATTCGTTAGTTTATAAATTTACCGTATAACGTCGGAAATTGATAAATTTACGAAAATGTGGACGTAAAATATTACAATTTATCTCCCGTTTAGAATCTTACCAAAGTTTATAAACTTACTAGTAAATTGATAAACTTACGGATCTTATTATTTTCCGGTGACATATACAAGTTAAACACAAGTATAAGTTATATTTGACAAAATGCTACCTACCATCTTAAATATGAATATATAATAATATAATAAACCCCAGTAAATAAACAATAAAATATCGCAATACCTACACTATAAAACAAATACATTTAAAATCCGGTCGTTATTAATTACGTAGAATAATATATGGAAAAAACTATGTGAAATGGAACACGGCATGGCGTGGAAAATGTTTAGCTTTTCAGCTTAATTATGTTAATATTTCGCCCTACTTTCAATTATTTTCAAGGTATTATTACAGCTTTATTTCCCCGAAGGGATCGTCAAGGTTGTGAGATTTAAAAGTGTAGCATTCGTTGTTCTTGTTAATTTGTCCGCGGATTCATCCGGGGGACGTTGTTTTCTTAAAATAAACACACCATCCTGTCTAGATTCCAATCTCCAATTATCTATACTCTAGCCTCCGTATGTGGCTTAGCGTATTAAAGTAATGTATACCGTATATTTAAAAAAACATACGTTGTTTCACGCCGGTTTTCTGTGAGGCCGTGGTATTATTACTCCTGTTAAGCTGACCCATTCGTGCCGAAGCATGGCTCTCCCACACTCAAATCTGCCCTGAATACAAACAATACAATACATAATAATACTTGCCAAAACGCGTTTGAGTGACACGTTTAGTTAGGGGTGTCTACGATCGATAGGTCGATGACTGGTCCAACCCCGTCGCTTCATTGTTTTGTTACAACCCTAAGTTTTAGACAGTCGTTGCTCCCTCCAATTATCATGTCTAAAGTTCTTAATTATTTGAAAATGCATTCACTTTTTTATGGATTTTAAAAATAAATGAATCAGTATGTGCTATGTCCTGCAATTTTGTTTTTATTAGTATCGGCTCCCTTACTAAATTCTGATTCAGACTCATCTACTTTTGTCTATTTTTCTCTTCCATGATTCACCGAAAACGGTTCGGCAGTTAAGCATGATTAGCTGAAAAATAAACTTGTATTCGATAGCGTTAACCCTTTTAACGAAGTATAATACAAGAGAGAAAAAAAAAGTATAATAAATTGTAGTGTTTTAATTTAAACGCAAATTCAAGTCTATTTTTTTAAATATACGTATAAGTTCATTTTGCACAGATATATGGTATGCAGGTTCTTAAATAAATAATAAATCAGTACAGTGTTCATGTTTGGCTATTGTACAATCTCCTCCCAATTATTACCACATTTCGCAATAGTCCTGCATCAACCGGGGTTTATCCTTGAGTGCACTTTCATAGTGCATACAAGGATAATTGCCGGCTGATGTCCCATCACATTAAGATTAAAACTGTTCGACGGGCCTCTGCGAGTTGCCTTCGGCCCCTCGTACGCCTTCCAAAGGTCCGGGACCCTGTGGTCCCGTGAACGGACACGAATACAATAAGAATATTTACAAAAGATATTGATTTATTAAAAACCTTTTACTGGCTCTGTATCGTGCAGACTTTAACAAAATATAACTTAAAATTGAGTAGCATTTCTAGTTTGGATCGTAATTCTTGTAATATAGGCGACAGCTCTCAGAGAGACTCTAATTGCGTTTCGATGTAGCAAGGGACAGTGGTATCTGATCGTACAGTATTTAGAAGCTTCGGTCAATTTAGAACAAGGGTTACACACAACATAACAAAAATTCTACTATAGATACCGGATCTTACCAGAGGCCCAATCCTTCCCCCCGGACCCTTCCCCAATCCCAAAATATCCAAATCCCTAAAAGGTCGGCAACGCACTCGTTGCGGGTGTCCATGGGCGGCGCTGATTGCTTACCATCAGGTAATCCGTCTACTCGTTTGCCGACTTATTACATAAAAAAAACAAAAGATACTCGTAATTACATAAGTTAGTGTGGATGTGCCATAAGCGTCTGATCATCAGCCCATAAGTGCTTACTGCTGAGCAAAGGCCTCTTCTCACATGGAGAAAGTTTACGTTACAACTCAAACTCGAAAAAGTTACATTGGTATTTGCAAGGTTTCGAACAAGCACCCTCATGCATGAGAAGCGGGTGCCTTAAGCTCTGGGTCACCACGACGATCACGAACGTCTGTGTGGTCAAAATTAACAATGCATCTCGATTATTCTCGATGCTGCACCGTGACCCGGCTCGGAGCAGAAGTTTCTGGTTTTTAGTCAGTAAGAGTCTGACGCTAGCTGACCTAGCTAGGGCATTAGAAGAAATTTTATGGTTTTAGTCCTCTCAAAACCTATCTTTGCTCTGGTGTAGATGTCCGGCGCCATAATTAATAACATTAGTGACTATTTAAAAACTTATCCGTATCCGTACTCATTATTAATAATACTTTTCTCCATCTTTCCAGGAACGGAACCTCGATGATTTCCCTCATAATTCCGCCCAAGGATCAAATCTCGCGAGTTTCCAAGATGTTGGCGGATGAATTCGGTACAGCTTCCAACATCAAGTCGCGAGTGAACCGGTTGTCCGTGCTCGGAGCCATCACCTCTGTACAACACAGGCTCAAGCTGTACACCAAAGGTAAATTTAGTTTAGCTTATACTAGCGTGCCGCCCCACCTTCGTCTGGCTGCTATTTCCCGATGTTATCGACGAATGTCTTGAATTTTTATTTTATTTTATATAAATCGTGTCAAAAAATACTATTCGAACCAGTCAATCGACAGACAATGAAACAATTAATGTATGTTTGCTAATAGGCCTTAAAAACACGGCTTTGACCCGTCAAAATAATATATGAAAAAAAAACTGTATGATGCCGGTATTGCCTATCTGATTCCGTCATAAGGGTGAACATACATTTTAAATAAGAAAATAAAACTTCAATGGTAGATAAATGTATTTATACTACAGTACACAGTTGTGTAGAAAATTGCTAAGTAACTTTTGATTATTTTACCTTACAATCGTGGTAATTAGAGACACGAACCAATACGACCTTAACATCTTCAAGATACGAGCGTAATTCTTTTTTATAAGGCCGGCAACGCGCCTGTTATTTCTCTGGTGCCACAGGTGTACATGGGCGGCGCTGATCACTAACCATCAGGTGATCTGCAGGCTAGCTTGCCTCCTATTCCATAAAAAAAACAATAGTAAAACCATAGGTGCACGAACGCGTTCGTCTGGGTTTTTTTTATGTAATAAGTCGGGAAACGAGCAGACGGATTACCTAATGGTAAGCAATCAGCGCCGCTGACACTAGCAACGGAGAACTAACGAGTGCTTTGCCGACCCTTTAGGAATTAGGGTTTTGGAGATTAGGGATTGAGGAAGGATCGGGGGAGGGGAAGGATTGGGCCTCCGGTGGTAACCTCGCTCACCCGGCGAAACACAACGCTGTGGTTGTTTCACGCCGGTTTTCTGTGAAGCCGTGGTATCACTCCGGTCGAGCCGACCCATTCGTGCCGAAGCATGACTCTCCCACACTTTTTTTGAGCACTGGGTTTTGATGAATTAAAGTTCAAAGCAATATCTTTGACTCCTTAAAACACTCCGTCTTATCTTACCATTTCTCGTTCCAGTACCTCCCAACGGCCTCGTCATCTACTGCGGTACTATAGTGACAGAAGAAGGCAAAGAGAAGAAAGTGAACATCGACTTTGAGCCTTTCAAGCCAATCAATACGTCGCTGTACCTCTGCGACAATAAGTTCCATACTGAAGCACTCACGGCTCTACTCGCTGATGACAACAAATTCGGTTTCATTGTCATGGACGGTAACGGAGCCCTGTTTGGTACGCTGCAGGGTAATACTCGAGAGGTATGTACCAAGTTTTAGTATTTGAATTATATATTCCACTGCACGGTTGGCGCGGTGGCTGGGCAACTGGCTGGCGCGCAACGTGTCGCGGGTTCGATTCCCGCACGGAACGACTCTTTTTGTGATCCACATATTGTTGTTCCGGGTCTGGGTGTGATGTGCATGTGAAATTGTATGTTTGTAAACGCACCCACGACACAGGAGAAAATCCTAGTGTAGGGCAATGTATTATTAATAAAAAAAAAGCGTTTGTCTACTGCTTCGATTTCGACTTATCTTACTGAGATACTGATCTAGGACCTCTTTTTAAAGGGGAAAATATCAAATGACTTTGATACATTGCATGATTGTCCCCCACAAAAATGGTACCGACTTAAGTACGAAGATAGGGCCTATTGCCATCCTGCAGGGTCATTCACCTACCTACGATATACTTTCATAGGACCTTCCCCAGAAAAAAAAACAAAAAATAATGAATGAAGTTGGTTCAGCTATTCTTGAAATTAGAGTTTACTGAATTAAGCGATGCATTTTTATATTATCAGAATATTCTGTTATTCAGTATAAAAAGTACCTATCCTATTTTCCCCCTTGTGACAAACCCTATAAAGAACATAATAATTTATCCAACCCACATAATTTATCCTCTAAATTTATTTTTAATAGATGGGGCGAGAGGTAGTTTCACACTCTTACTGACTGAAACCCCTCTCCCGCCGTTCCTTCTCCTGCTCTGTGCCGAGGGCGCCTAAAAGAGGACAATTCAAATGTTCACCACTAGCTACTCTCGCGCGCTTTCACCCGCTGCTCGGCTCCATTTAATCGTAGCGTGATATTTTATAGCCTATAGCATTCAGGAACATTGTAGCTATCTATCAGTGAAAGAATTTTGGAAATCCGACCAGCGAGCGGTTCCAAAGATTACCCCCTACATACAAACTTACAAATTGAACCTCTTTATAATATTAGTATAGATAATAATTTTTTAACCATTCCTATTTCAGGTTCTTCACAAATTCACGGTAGATTTACCGAAGAAACACGGCCGTGGTGGTCAGTCTGCCCTCCGTTTCGCGCGTCTCCGTATGGAGAAGCGTCACAACTATGTGCGCAAAGTGGCTGAGGTGGCCACCCAGCTCTTCATCAGCGCTGACCGCCCCAACGTCGCCGGTCTCATCCTCGCCGGTTCTGCTGATTTCAAGACTGAATTGTCGCAGTCCGATATGTTTGATCCGGTGAGTACGATTTGCCAGCTGTGCAATGAATAATTTTTACTAGACAACATTTTAAAACTAAGCTGGGTTATGTTAGAATTTTATTGTATCTGATTGCGATTACTGACACATGAATGTGAAATAACATCCTCAAGATTATTTGAGTTCTTTTGATGTGATTTTCACGTTTGTAAGCGCACGACTTTTGACATTGTGCTTCCATGACCAAAGAGAAAATCTTACCTTACATCGTTACTAAATGAAAAATATTTTTTCTGACTTTGTATAAGCTAAAATGTCGACCCCATCGACCAAGTAAGAAAATATAATTGACGGCACGGTTGGTGCGGTGGCTGGGCAACTGGCTGCCGTGCAACGGGTCGCGGGTTCGATTCCCGCACGGAACAACTCTGTGTGATCCACAAATTGTTGTTCCGAGTCTCGGTGTCATATGTATGTGAAATTGTATGTTTGTAACCGCACCCACGACACAGGCGAAAATCCTAGTGTGGGGTTTTTTTATAAAAAGAAATAAAAATATAATAAACCTTCTTTTGTTTAAAACACAATAGATATCACTTGTATGTTGAACTCATATAAATAGTTCGTTACATCATTTACTAAATGAATACCATTTTTTTTATTGAGGATAAGTATGCCTGGCAGCATGTTGATTCCGCTCCACTGGACAAAACTCAAATATAGTCAGTAGTTACTAAAATTCTCAAAATGAATGAATCCTTAAATTATGTATCCAAAGAGTTTATATAGAAGCACTCTTAAAGATTGCGAGTACGCATATGTGGGCGCTAAGTTCGAGACAACAAAAAATTAAAATTTAATGATAGATCCCATCATTTGTTCTTTTTTTACAACTTGTCTCTGCATTGTTCAGTGTACAATAATGTATACTAAATGTTATCAGTGAAATTATAAAAGATACATATTTTTTTTAAAAGAGTAACGATGGAGTTTCTTGCTCGTTCTTCTCCATTCAAATCTACAATTTGGAACGAGCACTTAGCTTCACTGACGAACAGACTGACAGATTACTATTGTATTTTGACGTTTCAAAAGTACCTATTTATGGTTTAGCTGGAATAAATGATTTTGACTTTGACTTTGATTTTCCGCAGCGTCTGCAAGCCAAGATCATCAAGCTAGTGGATGTGTCATACGGCGGCGAGAACGGATTCAACCAGGCCATTGAACTAGCCGCCGAATCTCTGCAGAACGTCAAGTTCATACAGGAGAAGAAACTCATTGGCAGATACTTTGATGAGATTTCACAAGTAAATAGAAATACAATAAAAATTATATGTCAATTACCTTTAAGATGGTTGTGAGGGTTATGAGGATGTTGTTGCCTTTTTGGGGATTCGAAGGTTTATGGAGGATTTGGCCATCAGTAACCTCACTCACACACACGGTAAAACAAAATGCTGTGTGTGTTTTTAAATTTAGATACATTGTTCCCACACATACATTCAATATTGGTTTGAAATTACGTGAGAGTGTAAAAATGATTTTTTATGCGATTGGTCCGCAATCTAGCAGACGTATTACCTGATGATAAGCAATCAGCACCGTCCGTAACAACGGAGGAGTTACGAGCGCGTTGCCAACCTTTTGAGTATTAGGGATTTGGAGATTTTTGGATTGGGGACACGGCAAAACATACCGCTGTGGTTGTTTCAGAGTTCGGTTCTCTGTGAGGCCGTGGTATCTATCACTACGGTCGAGCCGACCCATTCGTGCTTAAGCATCGCTCTCCCACACTTTAAAGAGTAATGTTCGAGTTTCTTGTTTGTTCTTCTTCATATAAATCTGCAGTTTGGAATGAGCATCTAGCTTAACTGACGAATAATACAACTTTGATGATTCAACAGTGCTTAACTTTGCAGCACTGGCAGAGTCCTCAATAAAGCCTATTCTAATCCAATAAAACAATTTCTTATCCATTTATGACTGTTGTACCTTACAGGACACAGGCAAGTACTGCTTCGGTGTGGACGATACGCTGCGCGCCCTCGAGCTCGGTGCCGTCGAGACCCTCATCTGCTGGGAGAACTTGGACATTCAGAGGTAATAAAAAAACCAATATCATTGTTTTGCTTGCCCCTACCTGGATTTTCTCCTGTGTGGTACCTAATTATAATTTAATTCTGTATTCTAAGCTATTTTATACAAATTACGTAAAGACTTACAACGCCTAGCCTTCAACAGTCTTTATCAACAGTCAAAGACTTGAAGAAATTGTGTTCAAGTGTTTATTACTCTACAAAATTTTCGTTTAGTTTTACAAATGGGCAAACAATGCTTTAGGACATTCGCAACACCAGGCAATTTACGCGTGCTTTGCCGGATAGCCAAGCTTTCGGAGATTTAGGAATTTAGGAGGGATGGGGGAGTGGATCTTGCAAACACAATGCTGTGTTTCTTTCACGCCAATTTTCTGTGAGGCCGTGGTATCGGTCGAGCCGACCCATTCGTGCATGGCTGGAAGAACCAGAACACTTATTAAGTAATTTTAACTTTATTGTCATTTAACATATACTGCCGTGACTTCCAGATACGTGCTGAAGCTTCATGCCACCAACCAGGAAACCATCCTCCACCTGACCCCAGAACAGGAAAAGGACAAGTCACATTTCACCGACAAAGAGGTAAATTAACTCTATGCAATTCACTTTACAATCTAAGTATACTAGCTTTTGTCCGAAACTCCGTTCGGGTGGAATAGTCACTTCGTGCATATTTTTGTAATAAAAACTATCCTATTCTTGAGTTCCAAATTGTGTGTACCAAATTTCACAGAAATTGGTTCAGTAGTTTAGGCGTGAAGAAAAGACAGACAGACGGACAGATTTATTTTCGCATTTATAATATTGGTTTGGATATATAAAAATTAATGCCACTTTTCGTTGTAATGTTGTAACTCAAAAATGCCTTTACCGATTTGGCTAATTTTGGTCTTGAATTATTCGTCGAAGTCCACAGAAGGTTCAATACAATAAAATATTGAAAAATAACTATACTTTTCTTCATCGATCGATACTAAGAAATAAGTAAGCTTTTTGACGCAAAAATACTATGACGTCATAACTCAGTTTTTCATAGAAAAGTATAGTTTTTTTGACATTTGGAAAATAGTATTGAATTTGAATAGTTGGAAACTACCGTTTTCTGGAGGATAGTGATTTGAAAAAAGAAACTTTTATTTAATAAAAGTTTTTGGAAGTATCACTCATCCCACAAATTACTTTTGCACTTAAGAACTAGCTATTACAATAATGGAGTATGAATTAAAAAATCTCGGTAATAATTTCCAGAGCGGCGTTGAGCTGGAGCTGGTCGAGTGCCAGCCCCTACTGGAGTGGTTGGCCAACAACTACAAGTCCTTCGGAGCCACCCTCGAGATTATCACCGACAAGAGTCAGGAGGGAAGCCAGTTTGTACGCGGCTTCGGTGGTATCGGAGGTCAGTATACATTCAGATTTACTATTCATCCAAGTGCTGGATACTTCCACAAAAATGATTTTATAAACTTATTTTTGTTCGTGGATTTACTGAGAAAACGTCTACTATTTTCAAGTCATGGTACGACTTTTTTCATGAGCAGCGTGTACCCTGTTACTAGTAGAGCTTTTGTCAGTTTATTCATGTGATTAACACCCGGTTTCCGAAAGGCCGATCAATGTTGAAATCAATTTAATCTCTTGTCGAGTCATCGGATTGGTTGACTGAATTATCAACAACCAATCAGGTAACTTGACAAGGGATTTGACACCTAGTTAGTTGATTTTAACATTGATCGGCCTTTCGGAAACCGGGTGTAAGTCGTTGTTTGCTCACATAACTATTTGACGAGGTATCTCTATTAGTTTTAACTGTGAGAAAGCCAAGATTTGGCTGACTGTCTTGCCCTCATTGATACCACGGCCTTAAATTACACTGGCGTGAAACAATCACAACGCTGTGTTGCGCCGTGTGAGTTCAGTTTTCCAAGCTCCCCATATCACCGAATCTCTAATCCCTTATCTCAAAATCCTCGAATCTTGCATAACGAATTACCCAATTTAAGATTTGGAGATTGGGGATTAGGGATTTGCCCCTAATCCCCAATCTCTAAAACTCGAATTCCTTAGTCCCAAAAGGGCGGCAACACACTTATAAATACTCTGGTAGTGTAATTGTCTATGGGCGACGCCAATCGCTTACCATCGGCTGTGCTAGGCTGATTGTTTGCCACAAAAAAAAACACATTCAGGGCTCATACTATTAGCTGAATTGCACTATAAAAGCCTAAGCGTGCACCGTGCAGTCAAATAGAGTTGCCTCGTCGAAATATTTATGTGTGTATGACGTAAAACAAAATAAAGGAACGCGTAAAGTTACAAATTGACAACTAGGTACCTACAAAGTTTGTCGATTTTTGAGACTATTCATTATAGTAAATAATGGTAGAAGTGTCTAATGTTGGTGACGTTAAATTTATTCGTCAATACACACGTATATCATACGATGTTTTTCAACACACTTCCGAATAAAATAATACTTAAAAATAACTAAAATAATTCCAAAAGAGAAAACCAGATGAGTTGTGAAAAATGTTTCGTAATGGCCGGAAAATTAATCAGTATTCCTATGCGCGCGCATCGCCCATAACATTTTAGCTCAAGAAATCTATTACTCACTCGTCAATAATAGTAATGTCACAGTTTGATTATTATAGGTCCTTTCCGTCCGAATACAACTTAGGTGTCTTCAAGGCTAGAGTGAATAGGCTCTTAATAAACTAGTGCGCCTTACCATCAACGATTGCATCACTGCTTAACATCAGGTGGGATCGCAGTCAAGCACTGGTTTACTGCAATTAAAAAAAAAAAAAAAGGTGACATTATGAAACGAATTGCCATGGGATTAGAGTCACTCAATGAGGAAGTGTGTTGAAAATAACACTTTTGCGACAGGATCAAACAAAATATGGCAACCCTATAATGCTGACAGACCTATGGCTGATTTTTAATTATAATATGATTGGATCTACTAACAAAATTATTGCTTTTGGTGATGTAATATAAATGTATTTTATGTATAATGTATTTCTAATAATATGGTCCTATGATTTATTGTTATTATCTAAGCTTTCTTATGTGCCAGATGAGTGGAGTATTTATTTCCTAGGTGTATATTATATATACAATAATAATTAAAACTATTTCTTTCATAAACTAGTCGTAATTGGATAGTTGTCACAGTCAAAAATAATAAATTATTTTAATGTATAAAGCCATTAGTTACTGCCGCGCGGTTTTACCCGCTGCTTGGCTCCTACTTATCGTAGGGTGATGTTTTATAGCCTATATCACTTAGGAACATTGTAGGTATTATTTCAGAGAAAGAGTTATGGAAATCCGACCCACGGTTTCAAAGATTACTCACTACATGCAAACTTACAAATTTTAATCTATACTACCTATACTAATATTATAAAGAGGTAAAATTTGCAAGTTTGTATGTAGGGATAATCTTTGGAACCGCAGGAGTCATTTGGAGTCCTATAGGCTATAGGCCTAAAACATCACGCTACAATCAAATGCAGCGAGTAGCGAGTGAAACGGCGCGAGAGTAGCTAGTTTTAGATAAAAATACTCAAAAGTAATCACTGGTACAAATACTGGTAGGTGACTGGTATTAGCTATTGGCTCAATACTCCACTCATCTCAACCTCTGATTAACGCTAAATACTTTTTACTAACCATATGTCTATTTCTTTCCCTAAACGCAACTCGGACACCTTCGGACGGACACGTAAATATTACAACATTTTTTTTATATTATTTACTTCATTTTCGACACATTAAAAACAGGCATTCTTCGTTACAAAGTGGATTTTCAATCTCTTCAGCTCGACGAACCGCTAGACGACGTAGATTTAGACGATTATTAAAAAACATACGTTTCACTTATTTGAGGAAAAAACATAAAAAACGCCATTACGACTCTTGTATTAAGGTTTATTAATGCTTGCATGTGATTCGGTTTGGTCCGATGGTATTGGAATGATGCGTTTGCATTAAAGAATTATGAAAAGCCAGATTCTATTGTGTAACAAAATTACTAGTTTTACATTTGTATGCGAGTTATAAATTATGTGATTGAAATAGTATTTTTCGTACAATAACTATGTTGAGACATGCTAAATTTATTGCATAGCTTTTGCCCGCGACTCCGTTTGCGCGGAATAGTGACTTCCTGGAGATTTTTGGTATAAAAACTATCTGATGTCTACCAAATTTCACAGAAATCGGTTCAGTAGTTAGGCGTGAAGAAAAGACAGCCAGACAGAGTTACTTTTGCATTTATAATATTAGTTTGGATATCAAAGTCACTGAAAAAACTTGAAATAAATATTATTAATCCACGTGAGTAAGTTGTTGTTTTCGATAAAAATACAGTTTTATTTTCATTTGGCCTTGTCTAATATGTTTTTAACATGTAAAAAAGTAACATCTTTAATGCATCGACGAAAACTATCTTTGGTTTGTCTAAAAACAAAAACTGCTTGCAACATTGGATAATTATATTATTATGAATGTATAAAGTACACGAATCTTGATTAGTACAGACTCTAGATGAGTCAAGGAGAATTAAAGATTGTAAAAAAAGTATTCAAGTAAAAAGTGACTTATTTCCACGCAAAATGCTTTTAAAACTCAACTACAGTTCAATAAAAACAATCAGTTTTATAAGGAATCTAAGTTCAAAAAGAGAAGAACACCAAAATAATTGTGATATCGAACAAAATAAGAATTATTTACTAGTTAGCTGGTACTGGCTGGCGTGGTATCCACGATCGCTGATCCACGCGAGACACAATCGGCCTTATTACAAAACAAGGTTTTACTTTAGTCTAGGACTAAACCATTGAGCCAGTTTTTGTATTTCGAATTGAAGGTAGATGACAATAAGATTTAAAATTCAAAACCCGACTCAATGGTTTAAACCTGGACTAAAGAAAAACCTTGTTTTGTAATAAGGGGGTATGTGTTTTATATCGTTTGTTATATACCGGCAGACAAAAGGTTAAAATTAACAAGACGCATCGTTCCACGTAACCACTGGACCAACAATTTTTCTAATTAATAGTTCCCTCTAGATGTACGTATTAATATTATAGTTCCCTATTTTCATTATTAACTATTTGCTTTCAAACCACAACACCGCGTTTTTATACATGAACCCTTTTCCCCTCTATTTTGTGATGTAGTATATCGGGGTCGGATTTAGCACCCACTGAGCCAAATTGGTTGGGCCCCCAGGTGTTTTTTATTGGGACCCGGACGAAAAGTTCGATCCTTAAAGGTTAAAAAAATATTCTGAATTGATCAAGTAATAAAAGCCTAGTGTTGCTAATGAAAAAATCTGATGTGTGCGTGCGATTTATTACTTTAAGGTACTCAGAACTTTAAACTCTCTAGTAAAGCATTATTTTTTGATTGGGTACCTAAGTTATACTCACCGGGGGCCCGATAGGCCTATCGTCATAGGCTAGTCCGACCCTGACCAGTTGTTTTCGTTGAGTGTGATTTTTTTTTTGTTTGTTTTGTTAGATGTTGAACGTCGGGATTATTACGAAGTTTTCAGATTATAATGAACTAAAAATTGGGTATGGTTGTTTATTATAACCGTGCTGTTAACATTGCTGGTTTCGGATCAATTTTAAGCTCGAATGTGAGTCAAAACACACTGAAGGAATCGCAAACAAAGGTGACGAAGCCAGAACATTTACTTTGTGAACTAGTCACTTCACATTATATTCCGGTTCTGTGTCAAGTGAAGAAAGTAAAAAGATACATTATCACGCGTACCCTGCATAACTACAGGACACTTTTTTAGGTCAGGGTAAAATCATCGAATAACTTCTTCCGCCCAGGGTAAGGCGAGAGAGAGTGTCGGACTCTTACTGACTATAAACTCCCTTGTTCCTTCTCCTGCTCTGGGTCGAGGCCGCGGTGATTCATTGCGCTTAACCCGCGACCCCGGCTGAATGCAAAGGTCATGGCACAGAATCTTACCATTGATAGATAGTGTCACAATCATACACTGGAACGATTTAAGATTACAGATTACAGATGAGGGCAAATCCTCCGCTAGCGTGGCCCACATGTTGTCCCCCATGGCGGTCAAAGTGTTAACTATAAAATAAAGCTAACAATATATAGAGTACATAAATTATGACGCATTAGTGGCCTTATTTTTATCTATGTAAGAAAAATGCAGATAGAAATAGTCTTAGATTAAATATAAAATAATATTTAAATCACAAAAATAATAAAAATAACAACATTCGAGCCTTTTCAATAAACGTTGACGTCATGTTAGAGCAACGTTGACGTAACCTTAGAGCAACGTTGACGTCATGTTAGAGCAATTTTGACGTCATGTTAGAGCAACGTTGACGTCATGTTAGAGCA